CACACGAACACACACACCCTGCTCTCCCCTGTGTATAGAAGCGTGTTATTTATGTTTGCCTCACTCTGCTGCTCATATGAGGGACAGGAAGAAGGCCCCAGTCACACCGACACTGGAACCCACTCACTCATCTCACTCTGCTGCTCATGTTAAAGACGGTCAGAGGGCCATAGTCAAACTGAGGACAGGCAACATGATGGGTCTTTAACCATGCCTGTAAGCGCACACGCACATACTCCCTCTCACCCAGCAGGGTTTGAACCTTACCTGTGTGTGTGCTGAATCTTTCATACACTCCTGGAGCCAGAGCTGAGTGACTTGTAGCGAATGAGGGTCGAACACACACACAACCACACACATACACACGCAGCAGGGTTAGAGTGATGAGGGGGCTTGCGCTGTTTAAATTTTTATGAGATGGCAGGTGAGAATCTCTCCTCTGACACGCAATGCCTGACCTCTTTATCCTCTACTTTCCTTATCCCTCGCTCCCTCTCTCTCACCTTCTCCTATGACCTTCTCATATACCTCTCCACATCTTCTCTTTCTCTCTCTCTCACCTTCTCCTCTGACCTTCTCATATACCTCTCCACATCTTCTCTTTCTCTCTTTCTCTCTCTCTCACATTCTCCTCTGACCTTCTCATATACCTCTCCACATCTTCTCTTTCTCTCTTTCTCTCTCTCTCTCACCTTCTCATATACCTCTCCACATCTTCTCTTTCTCTCTCTCTCACCTTCTCTTCTAACCTTCTCATATACCTCTCCACATCTTCTCTTTCTCTCTTTCTCTCTCTCACTCACTCTCTCTCTGGGGGTTGTTGGTTTATTAATCTTTAGCATTGCTGATATTTATATTCATGGTATTATGTCTGGTATTTGGATGTTGCTGTCTGTGGGGACGTTGTGCTCACTTCTTCTTGCTATTTTTGATACCAGTGTCATCTGGATGTATGAATGATTGACATTCACGTATTGAACTGTGCCAATAAAGGTACATTGAAAATGGAAATTACTCTCATTCCCACCCTCACTCATTTTTTCTCCCTCCCCCTCTCTCCCCCAATAAAGGTTTTCTAAACATTTTGTAATAAATCTCTCCCCTCTCTCTGTGTAGAACCCAGACATAGTGTTGGTACATTACCTGAACGTTCCAGCGGTGGACGACAGTGGGAAGCCGTGTGGGCCTGTCCTCTGCTCTATCAACACAGACAGGAAGGAGTGGGCCAAGTGGAGCAAGGAGGAGCTCATTGGACAGCTCAAACCCATGTGTGAGTCACCTATAACCCCTGACTTCTAACCCCTTTAAAACTCATCTGATAAGAGAGCTGTGAGTCTAGTTCCAAATCTGCATCCAAATCTACTGTTCCTCTCTCCTCTGAGTCAGTTTGACTTTAGCAGAACCACACTGCCACTCAGTGGACATCAAAGAGACTGCAGGCTGAGAGACCATGTGTGTGTGTGTGTGTGTGTGTGTGTGTGTGTGTGTGTGTGTGTGTGTGTGTGTGTGTGTGTGTGTGTGTGTGTGTGTGTGTGTGTGTGAGTGTGTGTGTACGTACGTGCGTGCGTGCGTGCGTGCGTGCGTGCGTGGACGTGTTTATACTTGTGGGGACCAGAAGTCAAGGACCATCTGTTCAAAATACCCAGCATGCATTATTCATGAGTGAGTGTGAGTTAGAGAGAGTTCTAGTTTGGCCTACAAACCCAGAGGACTGCTCACTCTGGGTCCAGCTCTGTCTGTGTTGAGATGTGTGAGTTGCATTTATGCACCCAACAGCCTTGGATTTCAGTGTCAGTCAGTTTCTAATGTGTCTGTGTAGTGTGGTAATATTTATCATATATGCATATTATATATACCTCACATGCGATTCGTAATAAGACTAAGCAATTAGCCTATTAAAATGTTTATCTGACTCCATAAGATGAATAGCAATATGCAAGAGACTACAGTTGAATTACAGTAATAGGCAATCAAGAAATGTCTGAGAATGGAATTCTAAATACAAGTGTATTTAATTACTTTGTAAAATGAATTATTACATTTACAAGGCATAAGCTTAAACTAAAAAGCATTACATGACATTATTCTAAGCATGATCAGAGAGGGAGAGAGAGAGGCAAAGAAACCATGGCTTGTGCCATGTCCCATAGCTCATGGCAGAGGGAGAGAGAAGGAAAGACAGTGTATATCTCACCACAGCAAGTCAGGGGGAAAAAAGAGAGAGAGACAATGAATTTAAGACCCTTTTATAACATCTGAGTTGTTTGGATTCAAAAACTGAGTTGTTGACTAATAGTATTACTGTAAAGTTAACCTCCAATCAGATATCAGGACTACAGACCTGTAAAGACAACAAAACCTCTGCTTCTCAGAGGTGTGACAATGGGGGTTGGTGAGATCAACACAGAGAAAGTTTGCATACAGTTGATAAGTCACTTCGGGGCTGGGCCGCCCTACATCTGCTTAATAAATCCTTTCTGTTCAGGCAATGCTGGCCTTTGAGTCTTGAAATGAAATGACAATGGACGTACAAAATCTTTAATCAGTCTCTTCACTGTATCCATTAAGATTTTGCGTCTTTTGACGCAAGGCAATATACTACATTTGCATTGCAGCCCTCCAAACCCCAGCCCCAGGACAAAATGAGTCTGACACCCCCTGGTGTACATCAATTCTGTGTGTAGTTCACACTTCGAACACATGGTGGAACCCTCACACTGTATAGCATTTAGCTCTTCCTCTAAACGCAAGGGTTCCCAAACTTTTTAGCTCAGGCCCTCCTTCCAGCATTGGGGAACATGCCCCCACACACGCGCCACGTCTATTTCTATGGGCACAAGCACTGTTCATGACACAAACTGTTCATACCTATCTTGTTGGTGGAGAGAACATTTTGCGGGTTTAAAGCTTATTTCCTGCAATTCTACACATTTTGTCATTGGGTGCAGAGAACATTTCTGACAAGTTATAAATAAATAGCTCTCTAAGGTATGCAATGACTGACATGAAAAGAGGAAAACTGATGATGTACTACCCAATTTTGAAATTGCACCTTGTGCATTCTACTAGTACAACTTTCAAGAGTAAGTTGAATTTCAAACACATATTCAAAGACCAGGGAGGTTTTCCAATGCCTAGCAAAGAAGGGCACCTATTGGTAGATTGGTAAAAAAGAAAAGCACACATTGAATATCCCCTTGAGCATGGTGAAGTTATTCATTACACTTTGGTTGGTGTATCAATACACCCAGTCACTACAAACATACAGGCATCTTTCCTAACTCAGTTGCCGGAGAGGAAGGAAACTGCTCAGGGATTTCACCATGGGGCCAATGGTGACTTTAAAACAGTTACAGAGTTTAATGGTTGTGATAGGAGAAAATGAGGATAGATCAACAAAATTGTAGTTACTCCACAATACTAACCTATATGACAGAGTGAAAAGAAGGAAGCCTGTACAGAATACAATTATTCCAAAATGTGTATCCTGTTTGCAACAAGGCACTAAAGTAAAACTGAAAAACATTTGGCAAAGACATTTATTCATTTGGCTTTAATACAAAGCGTTATGTTTGGGGCAAATCCAGCACAACACATCACTGAGTACCACTCATCATATTTTCAAGCATGGTGGTGGCTGCATCATGTTATGGGTATGCTTGTCATTGGCAAGGACTAGGGAGTTTGTTAGGATAAAAATAAACTTAACAGACCTAAGCACAGGCAAAATCCTAGAGGAAAACCTGGTTCAGTCTGCTTTCCAACAGACACTTGGAGACAAATGTACCTTTCAGCAGGACAATAACCTAAAACACAAGGCCAAATATACACTGGTTGCTAGTTACAGTTTTGACTTCAATTGGCTTGAAAATGGCTGTCTAGCAATGATCAACAAACAACTTGACAGAGCTTTAAGAATATTTTTTTTTGCAAATATTGTACAATCCAGGTGTGCAAAGCTCTTAAGAGTCTTACCCAGAAAGACTCACAGCTGTAATTTACATTTACATTTACGTCATTTAGCAGACGCTCTTATCCAGAGAGACTTACAAATTGGAATTGCTGCCAAAGGTGATTCTAACATGTATTGACTCTGGGATGTGAATACTTATTTAAATGAGATATTTCTGTATTTCATTTTCAATTCATTTGTCATTATGGGGTATTGTGTGTAGATGGGTGAGATTTTTTTTTTAATCCATTTTGAATTCAGGCTGTAACACAACAAAATGTAGTATAAGTCAAGGGGTATAAATACTTCATATTATGCATGGAAATACTTTGGAACAGATGTCCCAAATTACAATCACTTGGAGCTGATTTGCTGGTGTTTTTACAGTCTTTTATGTCCAACAAAATAAAAATAAAAAAGTATAAAAAAAATTTGGACGCCAGTTGGGGAACCCTGCTCTAAAGCCTTGGTGTCAAACTACATTCCTGGAGGGCCGTTTGTCTGCTGGCTTTTGTTATTTCCTTTCGATCTGTGTTCAATTAAGACCTAGACAGCCAGGTGATGAGGAGTTCCTAACTAATCAATTACCTTAATTTATCAATCAAGTACAAGGGAGGAGCGAAAACCTGCAGACACTCTGCCCTCAAGGACCTGAGTTTGACACATGTGCTCTAAGGTCTCAGGGCCATGAGAGAGATCTTGCTAAGTGTTTATTGTCAAAGGTGAATAAAACATAAAGGATCAAACAGGTAAACTAGAAGAAGATATTCAACTTGCGTGTTAAAACTGATTTAATTCCCCTCTGAAATTGACAGGTGGTAATGTCCAAACTATGTGATCAATACTTGATAACTTGAAGTGACAAAATGTTGTCACTGTATTTGTGTTTTGTGACTTGTAAATTGTTTGTGACAGTTTATAAATTATGTAGTGTATAACAGTGATATACTGTATATCAATCCCTGTCTCTGTTCTTACCCTCTCCATCTCTCTGTCCTTTCCACCCCTCCTTCTCTCCCTCTCCGTTTCTCTGTCCTCTCTCCCAGGTGCCGGCAGTAGCCTGCACCAGAAATGCTCCACAGCCAAACACCGCATTATCTCCCCTAAAGTAGAAGCAAAGACAGGAGCAGGGGCTGGGACAGGGACAGGGGCTCGGACAGGGACAGGGGCTGGGACAGAGGTGCAGAACAGTGATGTGTCCGAGGGGCAGACAGAGCCCAGTCCTGGAGTGGGGGCCAGGAGCAGAGGAGGGGGGGAGAGGAGGAACGGTAGGCTGCCCAAACCCTCCCTGCTACCCCAGAGCAGCATGGAAGTCTCCTCCACATCCACCAATCAGGTGGAGGTTCCCGACACCACACAGAGCTCCCCACTGTCAATCACCAGCGACATTACTGCCGACAGTCCCACCCTCGGCCTGGCCAGCAGCCTATCACAGAGCTCTGCTGCCGTGTTCATGTCTGAGGTTGCCACAGTAACAGGGGATTCCATGTACACCACAGAACATGCCCACCTGATTGGCTCCACCCATGACGCCACCACCGCTGGGATTCTACTGGCTGTTGCCCCAGACACCCAGCGCTTTGAGTTCCCAGGGGGGGTGGGGTTAGGAGAGGAAGGGGGGGAGTTGGTCCTCTCCAGCAGTCTGGACTCCGGAGGTTCTGGAGTCAACCTTCCTGAGACCAGCATGAACTTTGACCCAGACTGCTTCCTCAACAACCCCAAGCAGGGCCAGACATACGGGGGAGGAGGGGGTAAGGCCGAGGGAGGTAGCTGTAATGGTGAGGGGGGACTCCGCTGCTCTTCACAGTCACTAACGGCTAACGGCTATGTATTCAACGCTGCTCTCGTAAACATCAAGACCGAAGATACCCCCCTGGAGCAGCCGCTGGCTAATCAGAGCGGGTACGCTGACGAGGGGACGGGCCTGAGCCCTAGCACCACACTGGAGCAAATGGACTTCAGTGCTGTGATGTCATCAGTCTGCGCCCAGAGCTTGGCACAGCAGATACACCAACACTCCCCCAGTCTCTTCTTGCAGGCCTCCCCCCAGACCCCCCTCGCCCAGGCCACCCAGCCCCAGATCTGTGCCTCTGAGACGGGCCAGGACTCAGGCGAGACCCAGGCTTATCTGGGCCTACCTACTATACCACAGACTGACTCTCCAGGCACCAACGGAGACCCTCACACACACCTCCACCAACCCTCCCCAGACCAACACGGCCATAGTGAGGAAAGCGATCAAGGGGGTCTAGGGCTGGGTAGCTTTCCTGTGAGGGGGCAGGAGATGAGAAAAGACCAGCTTAGCACCAGAGGGCCTGGGAAGGTGAGGAGCCCAGAGAAAGAGCCACAGAAGAGGGCAGAGTTACTCCTCAATCCTGGGGAACAGAGTGAGGCCTACAGAAACAACACTGGTGTTGGGAGAGGTGGAGAGCACTACCTACAGCCAACAACCAAGAGTGGGGGAGTAGAGGGAGCACAGGAAATAGGAGGAGAGAATGATATTTTCTGTAACGGGGTCAGGGATGCAGGAGTTAACAGCTCAGTGGTGGACAGTCCTCGGTCTCTAGCTGGAGCAGCCATGGAGGGGGGGTTGTACAGCTCTACTCTTCCCCAGCCGGGTGTAGGGGAGGCTGGGGGAGCTGAGGGGGCAGGCGGGGGCATCAGCCTGGAAGGCTTTGAGGCATCGTTTGGGAACCAGTTTTCTGACCTCATCAATGACTTCATCTCTGTGGAGGGGGGTGGAGGTGGGGCGGTGGCCGGGACAGGAGGCAGTGCACTCTACACCCCTGCTCTGATGCCCCAGGAGGTGGTTGGAGAGGGCCAGGGGGCAGGAGCAGCCCCCATTCAGGGTTCAGAGGTGGAACAGGGAACTCTGAGATTGCTGCCAGAGACGGGGAGGCTGTTTGGGGTGACGGACTACTCCCCCGAGTGGTCTTACCCAGAGGTGAGTCACTAGTACCTAACCCTTAACCTCTGACCCGCTAACTTCTGACCCCTTACCTTTCAAAGCCCAACTTCGTATTCCCTAGCTTCTGAATGGATATATCACCCAAAGTAGCTACATAGACATAGGAGGTAGTGTATAGATTATACTAGTATACATAAACTATCAGCAACTGTCACCTAAACCATATAACTCATAAGGCCAACGTCTGTCCGTACGCAGTAAGAGTCTGACGTAGATCTGCTGAGCAATTAATGACCTGAGACACACACATACACACACACACACTGTCTGTGGCTCAGCTTTGACGTCAGTTTCCAGTGGCAAGGGTGTAAGGGTCAGACTGAGACTAGGGAGATGCTAAGAAAGAGAACATACAGAGTGGCGTCATCCCCTTGGACGCTTTGACACACACACAACATCACTGCATGTGTGTACACCTGTGTGTCTTTGTTTCAGGGTGGGGTGAAGGTGTTGATAACAGGTCCCTGGCTGGAGGCCAGCAGTGAGTACAGCTGTCTGTTTGACCACATCAGTGTCCCAGCTGCTCTCATACAGCCAGGAGTACTGCGCTGCTACTGCCCAGGTAACACACACTCACACACACATACAGAGACATGCATACACTCAGCTATCTACTTTCTCATGCACACACTAATCCCAACCCGTGTGTGTGTCTTAGCCCATGACACAGGTCTGGTGATGCTGCAGGTGGCTATGGGTGGGGATGTGATCTCTTCCTCTGTGGTGTTTGAGTATAAAGCTCGAGACTTGCCCGCCCTGCCCTCCTCACAACACGACTGGTTGTCCCTGGATGGTAAGTCACTGTTTATGTGGGTGTGTGTGCTTGCGTGTGTGTGTATGTGAGTGTATGTATACCACCCTACATCCCACTACTGGCTTGCCTCTGAAGCTAAGTAGGGTTGGACCTGGTCAGTCCCTGGATGGGAGACCAGATGCTGCTGGAAGTGGTGTTGGAGGCACTCTTTCCTCTGGTCTAAAAAAATATCCCAATGCCCCAGGGCAGTGATTGGGGACATTGCCCTGTGTAGGGTGCCGTCTTTCGGATGGGACGTTAAACGGGTGTCCTGACTCTCTGTGGTCACTAAAGATCCCTTGGCATTTATTGTAAGAGTGGAGGTGTTAACCCCTGTGTCCTGCTATTCCCAATCATACCATCATGGCCACCTAATCATCCCCAGCTTCCAATTGGCTCATTCCTATTCCTCTCCTCTGTAGCTATTCCCCAGGTTGTTGCTGTAAATGAGAATGTGTTCTCAGTCAACTTACCTGGTAAAATAAGGGTTAAAATAAAAGTATGCGTGCGAGCCAGGGTTTCTGTTAGGAAAATGTGGCTCCGGACGATTTGATCTGGAAGATGTACATTTACCGGATCCATATGCATTGGGTGCGTAACCCATTAGGGCGTCCACCCACGGTGCTCAGAATGACTGAAATCACATTTAGATTATGGTCATTCATCTTAACATAACATGCAACTCCTGTAATGTAAATAAAACGTCATTTGCAAATTTGCCAAAATGCAATTTGCAGGAAAACACCATTCTAAACAGCGCACCTGATGCAGGTTGGTACCATGTGTGACAGAGATGAAAATCTTAGAAAGAGGGGGAATCTAAAGATGTCACAACTAGGATGGGTTGCTAATATGACTAGGATTGTGCCTTTGGCTTCTGGACAACGAAAGAAAGTTGATATGAAAACCAATGAAACAGGAGAGAAATGCTAGTTTCAATGGCATATGGAAAGTCTTTCTAAAATAATTTCCTCCACATTTCTGTGGTCGGATTTTAGTTTGAAGCAAGGTAAGACATGCCTCATAATATGAAGCAAAACATTCAGGTTTCAAACAATTAAGTATATGTTTTCAAAATGCATACTGCCTCCAGCTCACATTGTAAAGTGGTAGATGACACGCTGATAGCCTGCCTACCGTTGCCATTCACTTGAATGGCGAATAGGAGGCGTGCTTCAATTACCAGTTGTGGCAGACCAGGGGGTTTGATCAAGACGTTTACATATATCAGACACAAGTGTGATGCCTCAGTTTCAAGGGTGTTTATTAAAAAAAAAAAAAAAAAAAAAAACCAGTCTCCTTCAGGAGACCTCTTCTGGGTTACCGCCTTTTTTAACATTTTATTTCACCTTTATTTAATCAGGTAAGCCAGTTGAGAACAAGTTCTCATTTACAACTGCGACCTGGCCAAGATAAAGCAAAGCAGTGCGATAAAAACAACAACACTGAGTTACATATGGGGTAAAAAAATACAGGTCATAAAATACAACAGAAAATATATATACAGTGTGTGCAAATGTAGCAAGTTATGGAGGTAAGGCAATAAATAGGCTATAGTGCAAAATAATTACAATTAGTATTAACACTGGAATGCTAGATGTGCAAGAGATTATGTGCAAATAGAGATACTGGGGTGCAAAAGAGCAAAAAAAATAACAATATAGGGATGAGGTAGTTGGGTGGGCTAATTTCAGATGGGCTGTGTACATGTGCAGTGATCGGTAAGGTGCTCTGACAACTGATGCTTAAAGTTAGTGAGGGAGATAAGAGTCTCCAGCTTCAGAGATTTTTGCAATTCGTTCCAGTCATTGGCAGCAGAGAACTTGAAGGAATGGCGGCCAAAGGAGGTGTTGGCTTTGGGAATGACCAGTGAGATATACCTGCTGGAGCGCAGACTACGGGTGGGTGCTGCTATGGTGACCAATGAGCTAAGATAAGGCGGGGAATTGCCTAGCAGTGATTTATAGATGGCCTGGAGCCAGTGGGTTTGACGACGAACATGTAGTGAGGACCAGCCAACAAGAGCGTACAGGTCACAGTGGTGGGTAGTGTATGGGGCTTTGGAGACAAAACGGATGGCACTGTGATAGACTACATCCAATTTGCTGAGTAGAGTGTTGGAGGCTATTTTGTAAATGACATCGCCGAAGTCAAGGATCGGTAGGATAGTCAGTTTAACGAGGGCATGTTTGGCAGCATGAGTGAAGGAGGCTTTGTTGCGAAATAGGAAGCCGATTCTAGATTTAACTTTGGATTGGAGATTCTTAATGTGAGTCTGGAAGGAGAGTGTACAGTCTAACCAGACACCTAGGTATTTGTAGTTGTCCACATACTCTAGGTCAGACCCGTCGAGAGTGGTGATTCTAGTCGGGTGGGCGGGTGCCAGCAGCGTTCGATTGAAGAGCATGCATTTAGTTTTACTAGTGTTTAAGAGCAGTTGGAGGCTACTGAAGGAGTGTTGTATGGCATTGAAGCTCGTTTGGAGGTTTGTTAACACAGTGTCCAATGAAGGGCCAGATGTATACAAAATGGTGTCGTCTGCGTAGAGGTGGATCTGAGAATCACCAGCAGCAAGAGCGACATCATTCATATACACAGAGAAAAGAGTCGGCCCAAGAATTGAACCCTGTGGCACCCACATAGAGACTGCCATAGGTCCAGACAACAGGCCCTCCGATTTGTCACATTGAACTCTATCTGAGAAGTAGTTGGTGAACCAGGCGAGGCAGTCATTTGAGAAACCAAGGCTATTTAGTCTGCCAATAAGAATGCGGTGGTTGACAGAGTCGAAAGCCTTGGCCAGGTCGATGAAGACGGCTGCACAGTACTGTCTATTATCGATCGCGGTTATAATATCGTTTAGGACCTTGAGCGTGGCTGAAGTGCACCCATGACCAGCTCGGAAACCGGATTGCATAGCGGAGAAGGTACGGTGGGATTCGAAATGGTTGGTGATCTGTTTGTTAACTTGGCTTTCAAATACTTTCGAAAGGCAGGGCAGGATGGATATAGGTCTGTAACAGTTTGGATCTAGAGTGTCACCCCCTTTGACGAGGGGGATGACCGCGGCAGCTTTCCAATTTCTGGGGTTCTCAGACGTTACGAAAGAGAGGTTGAACAGGCTAGTAATAGGGGTTGCGACAATTTCGGCGGCTAGTTTTAGAAAGAAAGGGTCCAGATTGTCTAGCCCAGCTGATTTGTAGGGGTCCAGATTTTGCAGCTCTTTCAGAACATCAGCTGTCTGAATTTGTGTGAAGGAGAAGCGGGGGGGGCGTGGGCAAGTTGCAGCGGAGGGTGCAGAGTTGGTGGCCGGGGTAGTGGTAGCCAGGTGGAAAGCATGGCCAGCCGTAGCAAAATGCTTGTTGAAATTCTCGATTATTGTAGATTTATCGGTGGTGATAGTGTTTCCTAGCCTCAGTGCAGTGGGCAGCTGGGAGGAAGTGCTCTTATTCTCCATGGACTTTACAGTGTCCCAAAACTTTTTGGAGTTAGTGCTACAGGATGCAAATTTCTGTTTGAAAAAGTTAGCCTTTGCTTTCCTGACTGCTTGTGTATATTGGTTCCTAACTTCCCTGAAAAGTTGCATATCGCGGGGGCTATTTGATGCTAATGCAGTACGCCACAGGATGTTTTTGTGCTGGTCAAGGGCAGTCAAGTCTGAGGAGAACCAGGGGCTATATCTGTTCTTAGTTCTGTATTTTTTGAATGGGGCATGTTTATTTAAGATTGAGAGGAAATTACTTTTAAAGAACAACCAGGCATCCTCTACTGACGGAATGAGATCTATATCCATCCAGGATACCTGGGCCAGGTCAATTAGGAAGGCCTGCTCGCTAAAGTGTTTTAGGGAGCGTTTGACAGTGATGAGGGGTGGTCGTTTGACCGCGGACCCGTTACGGACACAGGCAATAATCGCTGAGATCCTGGTTGAAGACAGCGGAGGTGTATTTAGAGGGTAAGTTAGTCAGGATGATATCTATGAGGGTACCCATGTTTACGGATTTAGGGTTGTACCTGGTAGGTTTGTTGATAATTTGTGTGAGATTGAGGGCATCTAGTTTGGATTGTAGGATGGCCGGGGTGTTAAGCATATCCCAATTTAGGTCACCAAGCAGTACGAACTCTGAGGATAAATGGGGGGCAATCAATTCACATATGGTATCCAGGGCACAGCTGGGGGCTGAGGGGGGTCTGTAGCAAGCGGCAACAGTGAGAGACTTATTTCTGGAAAGGTGGATTTTTAGAAGTAGAAGCTCAAACTGTTTGGGCACAGACCTGGATAGTATGATAGAGCTCTGCAGGCTATCTCTACAGTAGATTGCAACTCCACCCCCTTTGGCAGTTCTATCTAGACGGAAAATGTTATAGTTGGGGATGGAAATTTCAGAATTTTTGGTGGCCTTCCTAAGCCAGGATTCAGACACTGCTAGAACATCAGGGTTGGCGGAGTGTGCTAACGCAGTGAATAACTCAAACTTAGGAAGTAGACTTCTGATATTTACGTGCAAGAAACCAAGACTTTTGCGATTACAGAAGTCAGCAAATGATAGCGCCTGGGGAGTAGGAGTGATACTGAGGGCTGCAGGGCCTGGGTTAGCCTCTACATCACCAGAGGAACAGAGGAGGACTAGAATAAGGATACGGCTAAAGGCTTTAAGAACTGGTCATCTAGTGCGTTGGGTACATAGAATAAAGGGGGCAGAGTTCCGGGCGTTGTAGAAAAGATTCAGGGCATTATGTACAGACAAGGATATGGAAGGATATGAGTAAAGTGGAGGTAAACCTAAGCGTTGGGTAACAATGAAAGAGATAGCATCACTGGATGCACCAATTGAGTCGGTCTCCGCGTGTATGGGGGGTGGGACAAAGGAGCTATCTAAGGCAGGTTTAGCTGGGCTGGGGGATCTACAGTGAAATAGTACAATTA